AATCAAACAAGTCTAAGATAAATACAGTACTGTCACACCAGGTAAAAGAGCTTGCCACAAAGGCCTGACACCTGAGGTCATCATAGGGCTGTAGAGAAAAGAAAAAGAAGGTTCATGCTTTGCCACAATTCTGTAGAAAAATCAAAGAATTTTCACAGAGTTGAAAGTAAAATACCTGCAAATGTTTGCCTGAAGAGGTTTCTAGGGGCAAGGAGGAAGCTCAAAAAAGCTAAACACTGTCACAAGGAATAAAAGCAGATGTTCAGCACTGAGATTCTGATGGCTGGGAAGAAAAGAAGAGCTGAAAACTTCTGTGTACCTGCAGAAATCAAATTGGAATTTTGTCATCAGAATCTGAGGTACCATTGGTTTAAGTGCAGTGATCTACAAAGTGTTGCCGCTTCCCTGCCTGAGCCAGCTGTCCAACTGGAACTTTGCTAAGTTCAACGACTCTCCAACATAGTCCTGCTGAGGACTATGTTAGCATATAGTACATGTGGGTTCCCCAGTCTGAAGTCCAAGCATATCTATACAAAATCAATTGCCTTAACAGAAATTGCCTTAACACTCCACTCCCTGATTACTCAGTCTTTGGGTAAGTATGATATCATCTGCTTAGAGGATCTGATACATAACTTCTATACTGTTGCAAACCAGTACAAGGCTCCAGCAGCTCTTCAATTTATCTTATCCCCAAGGTGAAGTAAAGGAAATGACAGCTCATTTTGAGGAGGGTGAATGTGCTGGCAATACAGAAGATCAGAAAAGGGTCTTGTTACAAAGGTGAATGATGTTATCTACTACAGTTTTTTTTTTTTTTTTTTTTTTTGTAATGAGTCAGTTAAAAAAAAACAGTGACTACTTGGAATTTTTTAAAATGATTATTGTAGTATTTCAAAAACATTCTTGCATCAACCTACAATAACTATAGTACTTACGATGGAATCATTTAGGCCAGAAAAAAAAATGTGAAATGAGAATAAGAAAGTAGTACATCGGAAACACAAGGGCTGCTTGCTGCTACAGAGTGTGGCTACAAAACAGAGGGATGCCCAGGCTCCCTCTGTTTCAAGAAAATTAAAAAATCTGGGGTTCAGGTCTTCTGTGGTGGCCTTGCCTCTTCGGGCTCCTACAGTCTTTTCTCCTATTATTCCACAATACTCAGCCTACTGTTTGCCTGTGGATCTCTGCATCTTTTTTTCATCTGCTGCTGGCTGAAGCCTTTCGGAAAATTGTTTTGCTAGGATTCTGTGTTCAAGCATGGCAGAGTATCGTTAAGTGCAGGAGTTGGCTCTCTTCCATAGGATGGCTCTCAAGTTGGGCCAATTAGTAGGTGCCTATTCCCTCATTTTCTCTGCTTCATCTTTATCTCTACACTTCTTGTAGGCAAGGCAAATTTTGGGTCGAAGTTTTTATGGGTGAGATGATGCTCCTCTTCTGACAGTGGAAGTTCCACCTGTCTACAGGAAGTGGCAATTTCAAGTTCCATATCCCCTGCTGCTAGGAGTCTTAGCAAGGGTCACCGTCATAGACACCCAGGAGACTACCCTGTCCCAAAGATGTGCCCCATATCGATTTCTGTTCTCCTTACTAGTCTTCCTCCCAAACTTGCCCTGCCCACCTCTGATTTCCACCCACATGTCCCTCTCCATCCCCATCCTCATATCCACCTCATCTTCCATCAAATTCTCGCCATCCAAGACAACATGGTACCTTTACACAATGGAATACTACTCAGCTTTTAAAAACAAAGACATCATGCACATACACATGAATGGAACTAGAAAAGATCATCCTGAGTGTGGTAACCCAGACCCAGAAAGACAGGAATGGTATGTATTCACTTTTAAATGGGTATTAGCCATCAAGTAAAGGATAGCCATGCTACAATCCACAGACCCAAAGAAGCTAAGCACTAAGGGAGGATGGTTGAATCTCACTCAGAAGGGGAAATAAAACAGACATCTGAAGTATATAGATGGATGTTATTTTACTTTGATGGTCAAAATTTATTATATGGAACAGGCATTGCCGATGTCTCTAATATGCTTGCAATGCAATGACAGAAACATTAAATACAAAGCCAAACTAGCTTCCATGGCAAGGGTCAGTGCAGCCTGGCAAGAGGACAACAGCTTGACACCAACCCATAAAAGAATTACACAATAAATATATGAAAAAGAAGTCATGCTTTAAATAGCATGATCAAATGCTTATTTTATCAGTAGGACATAATATACTTAGAATAAGTATACAGATATTATCTTATCTTTTTATGTGTAGATGGTAAAGTAATTATTCTTGGTAATCACATGACTAGATTGTAGGAAACTATTAGCTGATTTACATTTAATATATTTTATATTATTGTAATGAATTTAGTGTGAGCTTCAAATTACATAGGATAATGACAAATAGATTTTAAATAAACCTCTTCATTTAAGAATTAGCATTGACAGAACCAGTCATAAGATTCAGCCAATAAAGGTGCGTGCTGCCAAGCCTGATGACTTGAATTTGATACCTAGTCCACATGGTGGAAAGAGAGGACAGACTCCTGTACATAGTCTCTGACCTCCTCACATATTCTGTAACACTCGAGCAACATGTGTGCGAACATGCGCACACCCACACACATACACAGAAACATACACACTCACATACAAACAATATGTCTTTAATTTTTTTAAGTAATAAGTAGAGTTACTGCTGAGAGTACTATCCTAATCAATACTTTAGGATTTAGTTAATTTTACATTATGTGGGCTTCCCTGTATTATATAACTTTATTATATGCAGATATATTCTCTGACATTTCTGAGAAAATGATTCAGTTTATGCTTTGTGTCTAAGTGCTGTTATATTCAAACAACAATTATATTCTTCTCTCATGAAGTTTTCATTAATTGTCTGAGGGTATATGCATAAAAACATACTGCCCATAATTTGATTAAAACTTGCTGTATATTTATAACAAAAATGCAGAACCAAAGTTAAATATAGTCATATTATTCTTGAATAAATTTCATCCACAGTACAATCACATGCCAATCTAGTCTGCGTTGGATGGCAACTTATTTTGACTAACCTCCATTTATTTAACAGTTAAGGATATTGGATTTTTCATGTTATTTTTAATTTATAAACCCATTTTTGTATTGGGCTGGTTTTTGAATTTGTCGGTGACACAGATATATCTCCCCTCTAGGCAGATTTTGAGAAACTGCCAAGTATGGGAAGTATTGAGATGGAATTACAATCCCCTGACTTCAAGCCCATTACTGTTACATCCATGGACATTATATTCTGGGTTTTGAAAATATTCCTCTTAATCACATAGTCATACTAAAGTTTTTAAAAAATTTGAAGGCTATACATTTATGTTCCTCAAAATATGTTTTAAGGTTCAGTGTAAAACTGGTCAGCACTAAATTATTATTAATTTATTATTAAAATATATTATCAATATTAATTCCTTTTTTCTCATTGTTACATGGGACACCAAGTCTGTTACACATACAAGCATTAGCACGAAGTAGAATGAAAATTTTTTTCTTTTTTTTGTTGTTTGTTTTTTATTTTTTTTGAAAGTCTTTTCTTGACAACGCAGCCCCCCTCCCTTGGTCTTTCTTTCCTTTATTGTTACAGGGAACATTCAGGGTCCTCAGTCTCCCTCTGCTTGGCTTTCCATTTCTCCTTGCCTTTTTCCCTGACACTGCCACACTACCTGTTTTTAATATGATACAGAAGCCTCAATAAATCATATACCGAGTCTCTTTTACTGTGTTTTCCCCCTGCGATTGTGAATAACCTTTCTGTTCATGAATTTAAAAATCAAATTTAAGTTTTTATGAGAAGCTTTCATGGTTTGTATTTAATTATTTTGAATCCATACATCGATCTGGAAAGAACAGTCTTGCTTATGTTATTTTTGTCTCCTTAACCACAGACGTAATAGAGATCTTAATTGTGTTAGTTCTTTTTTAATAAGATTCAATAAAACCTTCTGGATATAGAACTCCTACATACTTTATTAGATTTATTCTTAAGTTCCTTTATCTTTGGTTACTTATTTTTGTTAGTTCTCATCATTAAGAATATATTATGTTGAATATTGGTGTGTTTTCACCAATATTTTCCAGAATACATGTATCTTGTGCTTTATTTCATATTCCCTATTTTTATTTTGAGTGGTTATGTGTGTTCTCTAAATGATACACTATGTTACCAATTTTGATTTATTTAAGAATATCCATTATTGTTCTTAGCAACATGAAAAAAGCCTCAGGTTTCTAGGAAGAGAAACCTCAATCTGCATCCTAGGGTTAATAAATTTTCTGAAAAGTGTAAAAACTAATTTAGAACATGTTTTAATAACATTAAATGTTTTCAAAAATATTTGCTATATAAAAATTTAAGACATGTTTTTATAACATTAAACATTCCAAAACATTATATAAAAATTCCATGCTGAATTTTTATTGAAATTAAACATTTATTAACTACTAGATCAATCCCCATAACAAAAACAAACAAAAATTCCCTACTATTTTCTCAGAGTTTACATACAATTTAGAGCTTGAACATTTTACTGATTGTACAGTGTTTGTTTGTTCATTTGGATTTTTGTTTGTTTGTTTTTTAGCAGCTCCTGTGCTCTTCTTTGTGTGTTGCTGAAACCAATTGCTCATCCCTTAGGCTCTGACAGCTCACAATGGATTTTGACAACTTTCTCCCACTCCAGTTCCTGAGTAATATGTAATTTCCTTGATATGAAAAAATATCATTTTGGTATTCATATCAAGGCTTGATGTTCATTTTTCATTTTTCTGTAAGCTAATGAGTTCTTACACAGACAGCCTTCATGAAGTTGTCTTTGCCAACAGTCCTGCTACTGCATGCAGCGCTAGAGGCGAGCCACAGCATTAAGGAGATTTATTGTAAGCCAAGCCTCTAAAGTGTGTGCTGCAATACTAAACACATCCCTGTGTGTTTTGCAGACAATCCGAGTTTGCTGAGCCATGTCTCCGTGGGTATTAGAGTTCTAGATGTCAATGACAATCCACCCGAACTTGCCAGAGAATATGATATTGTTGTCTGTGAGAATTCTAAACCTGGTCAGGTAAGTTAATTCTTTTTTTTTTTTTCCTACCAACTGAAGGGAAGAAAAATAAGCAGCTTTATTTCCATTATTTTTGGGTATTATTGCCCAAATCCCTCAGTGGCATTCTTTTATGCTCAGTGACAATAATTTTTATAAGGTTTTAAGTACAAATAGATTTCTTTTGAGCATTATAGAAAATGAATTTTCACAATATCACAGTGTAATTCAGAACAATGAGCTCATTTAGGAATGATCCATTCATCATGCTAATAAAATTGTATTGAATGGTCTAGGCATTGTCCTGCATTCAGTGTGGAACAGTAACCTCTTATAGCCTGATTAAGCCTAGAGACCATATCTATGAGGAGTCTGAAATGTTGGTTATGAAAGATGTATGCCTGTGTGTGTGTGTGTTTATGTGTGTGTGTGTGTGTGTGTGTGTATGTACATGTAACTTTGTGTACACTATGAGGAACCTCTATACATTATGGAATGGGGCAAGTAAAGAAAGGACAGACAGTGGCAGGCTCTTTGACCCCCCCTCCCAAGAGCAGCTTTGCCAGGCCACAGAGGAAGACAATGCAACTAGTCCTGATGAGACCTGATAAGCTAGGGTCAGATGGAAGGAAAGGAGGACCTCCCCTATCAGTGGACTTGGAGAGGGCCAGGGAGGAGATGAGGGAGGGAGGGTGGGATTGGGAAGGTGTTACAGGTGGAATACAAAGTGAATAAAATGTAATTAATATAAAAATATAAAATTAGTTAAAAAAGGAAACTGAGGGGAGGAGGTCCTCCCCTATCAGTGGACTAGGGGAGGGACATGGTTTCCTCTATAGAGGGAGGGAGGATAGGACTGGGAGGAGACAAGGGAGTGGGTTACAGCCATAGACAGTCAATAAATAGTAATTATTAATAAAGAGATAACAATTTAAAAATAAAATAATAAAATCAGCAATATAATGCAAACAGCCAATAATTATACTTCCATAACATGTTTCTCAGTAATAAATTCAAGAAAATCCCACATAATGCAAGAAGTTCTTACGCAAAAAAATATCCAAGAGCAACATTATTTAAAATAAAATGAAAAAATAACTGTACTACTCTAAAAATATGAGTTAATCAGTGTATATGTAAACACAACTAACATTTTAGTGATAAAATAAGCAAGGTTAAGGATCTGTAGGATCGGTATGTCTAGTGTTGGTTCCTAAATATATTCAACTAAAAAACATGAGAATAAGCTGTTATATAATAGATATTATAAACCTAGCTGGAAAAGATTATTGAAAATTACAAACAATTAGAAACATACATAAGAATATATGTATACACAAATAATATACACATATATAATCACAAAAAATAAACTTTATCAAATCATGTATTTGATTTACAAAGACAGATTTCACTATAAAGTTTGCACACAAAGTTATGCTCAGTGTTACACTTAGATATACATTGTTTTAAATGTGAGAAGAAGTATATACAAAACTACAAACAGAAATAAACAGATCACATGGTGTTCTGGGGATACAGCTCATCAATATATATTCTATTCACATATAATTTTGTCCATGTTGTTGAAAATAAGCATTCTGATTGCCCAGGCTTGTGTAAGGGGAAATATGTTATTCTCACATCATATTATTACATATTTTCGAATATTCACAAAATGTTGAATAGTTTATTAATGTTTTATTAATGGCTGAATGACAAAGATTTAAATATATAAAATAATATTTTCATTATATTATTCTCAATAAAAAAGTTCTCGGTAATATCACACTAAAATATCTGAAGAAAATCAAAAATTATTTTCCAAAACTAGCATCTGGAATATATAACTAAACCTTCTATTCCTTATATACATAAAGGTAGAAAGTAGTAAGAATATTTAGTAGGAGGATGCTTAAATCTCATTCAGAATGGCAAACAGGATAGACATCAGAAGCGGTGGAAGAGAGGAAACAGGATGGGAGTCTACTATAGAGGGTCCCCTGAAAGGCTCCACCCAACAGAGGATCAAATCAGATTCTGAGACTCACAGCCAAACTTTAGGCAGAAGGCAGAGAGTCTCATGGAAGAAGAAGGGGGTGGTGATAGAGTAACATGGAGGGCCAGGGACCCCATTTTGAAATGATGCATTAATTAATTTTTCCTTAGGTAGCACAGAAATATTGCCTACTTTTTTCTTTTACTTCTTTTTTTTTCTATTTTTTTATTATTATTAATTACACTTTATTCATTTTGTATCCCCCCATAAGCCCCTCCCTCCTCCCCTCCCGATCCCACCCTCCCTCCCCTTTCTGCATGCATGTCACTCCCCAAGTCCACTGATAGGGGAGGTTCTCCTCTACTTCTTTTTTTTAAGTAAATGAATTGAATATGCAAAAAACATCTTCACAATACTGTTATTAAAGAAAAGGATAGCACAAGAATAAAAAAAAATATTGGAGCAGTACTCATCCTTCAATAATATCAGCAGACAGGTTTTGGTATTAATGTTCAATGTTATATATAGAGTTGGTCTACATTCTGAATACAGATTTAGGTATCACAAATAGTGTGCTGATAAGCAAAATTAAGAAAACAACTGTGAACTAAAACGCAAAAAGGTCATATTACTCAAGTAGGTAAATCTAAAGTATTTAATGAAGATCAATACAGTCAATATTTTTCTGAGAATAGAATTTAAATTGGTTTATGTACATATACTTTTTAAATCAATTTCATATATCTGCTAAGCACAGCACCAATGTAAAACTCTACTTAGACTACAATTAAAAAAGAAAGACTAAACATGAAAACTAAAACACCCAGAAATGAATGGACTCTTATTATCATCAATTATCCCTTACAAACTCAATCTCTAAGACTCAAATATGCAACACAATAAAGTTTATTTGTTCCTTTGTAATTTACTCAGAGATGTAAAATAGGCAGATAACTTCAATGTCTTCAAAATCAAGCATAAATGAATATCTAAGACATTTTAAGACCAATTATAATTAATTATATGCATTATATATAATTTATGTATTTATGTAAAATTTACCTATATTTATGTATTATGAATATTTTTAGATTATATTATACTATTACACATAATGTGCTGCTATATATTAATATTCATTGCTGTAAGTTAAGAGATTGTATATATAATTAATTATATATAATGTATAAAATATACTATATATATATTCCTTTATCTTACTTTTGAAACAGGGTTTCACTGTGTAGCAGTGGGTTGCTTGAAACCTGTGTGTCATTCACCCTGGCCTGGAACTCACAGAGATCCTCCTCTCTCTACCTCCAGATAAGAAAGATATGTTCCACCATTCCAAACACCTGTGTAAATGTATATATTTTAAATATATTAATAAGTACTTTTTAGGTTATGAACTCCTTTAGAAGTTCAGGAATATAGCCGATTCTCTTTTAAGAGTACAGCCCAAGGTTGTTTCCTGTTTTCTTCTGAAAGCCTCTGCAGTATAGACTGTCAAAGCAGATGCTGAGCCTGATGGACAACTGATGGGCAGAGTGAATGGAATTTTATGTAAGAAGTGGGAAATAGTAAGAGCTGGAGGGGACGGGAACCACACAAGGAGAGCAACAGAACAAGATAATTTGAACAGAGGGAACTTCCCAGAGACTCATACTGCAACCAAGGATTATTCGTGGAGATGATCTGGAACCCCTGCACAGGTGTAGCCCATGGCAGCTCAGTGTCCAAGTGGGTTACATAGTGATGGGAAGAGGGACTGCCTCTGACATAATCTGATTGGCCTGCTCGTTGATCACCTACCCCTGAGGGGAGCAGCCTTACCAGGCCACAGTAGAGGACAATGCAGCCACTTTTGATGAGAACTGATAGACTAAGATCAGAAAGAAGAGGAGAACCTCCCCTATCAGTGGACTTGGGGAGTGGCATGCATGCAGAAAGGGGAGGGAGGGTGGGATAGGGAGGGGAGGAGGGAGGAGCTTATGGGGGGATAAAAAATGAATAAAGTGTAATTAATAAAAAATAAAAAAACACATCTTTAAAAATAAAAATAATTTATGCTCTGAAAAAAAAAAGAGTACAGCCCATACATGCTTGCTCATAGCCAGATTTATATACTGACACAAGTGTGAAGAAATGATAATCAACAGTAATAAGTGTATGAGCTCATGCAATTCTTCCTGAGAATGGATCTTGCTGGAATTCTGATCCAGATCCACTCCACTGTTTCCTGTTGTGTATGTTCAAGTTCACTTTGTCAATATATTTGAGGCGTCTCTCCTATGTCTGCTCTGAGAGTTGGCTAGTGTTTGATGATGTTGTTTTCTTGGGTTTTATATCAATTTCTATCATTTAATTGCTTCATAAAGTCATTTTCACACATGTATTAAATATGTTTTAGTTAACCTTACAGTTGCTGATAACAACCTCTGTGTGTGTGTGTGTGTGTGTGTGTGCGTGTGCGTGTGTTTCTTATTAGTTTCCTTAATACCCCTATGTAGCTTCCATTTGATTGTTAACTCAGTATATTTACTTATTTACATCTATTTAAAACCTGGAACTCAGGAAGAATTGGGTGAAGGAGTGATATAAATAAAATTCTCAATATATAAAGCTACTTTTAAAGAAATTTTAAGAGTGTAATTCTCAAAATGAGAAAACATGTAATATTTGTCTTTTTGAAACAGACTTAATTCACTTAATGGGTTTGTCTCCAGCTGCATCATTTCACGGGAATTTTTTTATGCTTACCATGTTTTCAACTCTGTTACCAAAGTGATTTTAACATTTGGGAGAATAAAATTACTTTAAGTATAGTTTTCAATCTATTCAAACAAATTAACAGTGACACTTTTGATCTCTGTGATTGACCCCTAACAGAAGAAATGTGTCTCGACTTTTTGTTGTGTCTGTTGCATTTTGGAACACTTGCTGATAGTATTTCTGGTGGAATTCCACAAGTTCTGTCCCAGAGTTGAAATACAATTAGTATTAAAACTTTGAGTTTTGTAATAAGTTTGATGCAGTCTGTTTATATATTTCCTTTACATGGGAATAACACTTGTGTTTGTAACAGTTGTTTATAATGCTGAATATGTTGAGATGTTGATCACCTAAATGCATCATGATGTTGCTATGGTGGATAGTGACACTTTGTGAAGTTCTAAACCTGTACAATAGCAGTTAGGCCAAAGTAAACACCAACAAAAATAGCAGCAAAACAGATGATTAGCTCTGAATTAATACTCTTTATTTTTCTGAAAAATATATTTTATATAACTTCATTGAAAAACCACAGAAAGTTCGCCATGCATAAAATTTACAGTCAATTCCCAAACTACATTGAATCTAAAGGAATTTGTATCTGTCTGAAATAAAAAATTTTCTTTTATTCATATCAAATATGCTGTGGCCTTTTTATTATTCATTAAATTTAAACTCAGAGCTAGCTAACATTAAATTAATTTCTTAGCTAAGAATAACGTTTTGTTGGTAGAGAGCTTTCCTAGCATAAAGGAAACCTTGATTCCTCTCTCTGATCAGCATTAGTTCAGTGTGATGTCAATTGCGTGTAATCCCTCACCAGCGAAGTGGAGGTAGAAGGGTCAGAAGTCTCAGATCATTTCCATTTACATAGAAAGGCAGAAATCCAGAATAACCCAGCCTATAAAAAAGAACATATCTCAAAAATAAAGCAATGATCAGGAGATTACTTAAAATAGCCTCTGCCACATGAAATACGTTTTTATTAATTATATAACTTTGTATAAAAATATAACATGTTTTGTTACAGATTTATAGTCTATCTGGATACAATTCATTCAACTAATAAGAGTGAGTTCACATTATTATAGAACTCACAGTAAGAATGAGTTCTATTATAAAATAGAACACAATCACTGATCGCTTTAAACAATGTATGAAGAGTTTCTTAGCACATCAACATTGATGGTAGAGCTGAGGGTTGTGCACAAGACAAAATGCTAAGAGAACAGGCAATGTTGTTCAGTAGCAGACTGCTTTCTTGTCACACCAATGGCCAGATTCAAGGTTCTGTCCCCAGTGCTGCATCAATGTAAGAATAAAATGAAGTAACCAAAAAAATGTGTTTCCAAGTAAAAAAATTATATTGATTTAAATTTGAATTGACATATTACCCTAATAATCTATTCCCATATCAATACATGATGATCAATAAAATTTTAAAACCAGTAATGTTAATTTATAGATATTGTGAAATATCTATAAATATAATATATAAATATATATAGTATGGATATTATGATAAATATATAAATATCTATAAATATATCTTAGTGGGTTTTTTACTTGTAATTAGCAAATATCAAGTTGATTCCTCCTTTAGTTTTAAAAGGTAGACTGACAATCTTTGTGGCTTTTTGTCTGTAACGTCTTCCAAAATAATAAACTATATTATGTATTAATTAGAACTTTGGTTAATGACTTAGAATATTTGTGTGCAACTAGAAAATTATGAAAATAATAATGATGATGATGAAAAGTTGTTAAACATTGCACCTTACCAATCACAGAAACAGAATATATCAATAGCACAGTGAATAAAATGACAACCTCAAAAATTGTGAAGATGGTCTATTTATGCATTAGATATTTAAATTGTCTAAAATACCTAACAAGGACTATTTATATATTTTGCTAAAAGTATGATAATTAATAAATAAACAAGAGTATTAATAAAAATGAGAAGTAGTAAATACAGAGAAAAAAGCATTATGACAAAATTAAATTAATAAAAAAATCAGTTATCCTTATGCTTGACAATCAAAATTGTAAGAGTATGAGGTGCACAGGACACTTTGAAGCATAATGCAATATTCAGTTATCATGTGCCTGTGGATGAGACTCGAGATAGTTTCAAATAAACAGTCTCTATTAAATTCAAATCTGAAATTATTTGCACAAAATGGAAAAGATGTTTTAGAAAATATTTAAAAAAATAAACCATCAGAAAACAGAATCCAATATTAATTACCTCAGAAGTACCACTAGAAGCTCAGGTTTGTAAGAAAATTTAGAAAACATTAAACGCATTTATAAGTTTGTTTTGAAATGAGTAGGAAATACATATTACTACCTATGAACTTAAGATGAAATACTGAATTGGTCTAGATGAATTGTTCCTAAACAATCCATACAACTTCCTGAGTTAAGAAGCAATTTGCAAATAAATCATACTTTTATTGAATATGGCAGGGAAAGTAGAATTTAAAATTAAGAATCATAATAAATGAACACCATTTAGTTTTGAAAATATGATAATGTTTTTTGCATGTTTGTCGATGTGGGTACAAGTAAGTGTGTGTGTGTGTGTGTGTGTGTGTGTGTGTGTGTGTGTGTGAATACACTGAACAAATTTGAAAATCAGTCCTGATTTTCACTAATATTGAGTTCAGAATTGATGAGAATGCCGGTGTATTGCTCTATTGACAAAACAGTTTGACTCTATTTGAAGCTTTTGCACATTTGAGGGAAAAAATGTTTAAATTGCTTTTGATTCTCTACCAGCACATTTGTCTACTAGGAGTCAAAAGACAAAAGGGAAGAAAAGATCCATGTGGAGAAGTAGTTGTGCATAAAACGGAAGTGGAAAACAACACGATGAAGTTTCAGTTCTAAATGCTGCAGAGGGAAATGATTTAGGAAAGCACAATAGATTTCTCTCTCTACAAGTGGGGAATGGGGACAGAGTGATGGGATCTCACTGCAGTCTCAGAGGTTGATAGATGGCAGAGGTGGGAACTGAGGCCTGAGTATCTGCCACTTCAATACTGTATACACTATCCTTATCTCATTGTTTTGGTTCTCTCTCTCTCTCTCTCTCTCTTTTTGCTTTTGCTTTTTCTTAGTTACCTCATTTATCAACCAATGGTCTCAGTACATAGAGAAGGATTTAGATTTTTTCACAATATTCTTCTTTTTTCTATTTATTTATTTATTTATTTATTTATTTAATTATTTATTACAATTTATTCACTGTGTATCCCTATCCGTGCTGTAGCCCTCTCTCTCATTCCTTGCCCCTCCCCCAGTCCACTGATAGAGGAGGTCATCCTCCCCTTCCTCTGACCCTAGCTTATCAGGTCTCATCAGTACTGGCTGCTTTGTCTTCCTCTGTGGCCTGGTAAGGATGCTCCCCTATCAGGGAGGGGTGATCAAAGAGCCAGCCACTGAGTTCATGTCAGAGACAACCTCTGTTCCCCTTACTATGACACCCACTTGGAGACTGAGCTGCCATGGGCTACATCTGTGCAGGAATTCTAGGTTATCTGCATGCATGGTCTTTGGTTCGAGTGCTATTTTTCTTTAAATGTATTTTTCTTTTTCAAACATATTGTTATTTGATATTATAAGAGTGTATTTTATTTTTCCATTTTTCATTATCCGCTTCATCAATAGAAGTTAATTTAGTGTTCACTCCCATATTTAAAATAAAATAGATGTGGAAAAGGTAAATGTTTAAGTCATTACCTTTTAATTAGGAAACACCACATTTTTGTTTGTTTATAGGTTTACTTTTAAGGTAATACTGCTTAGAGTAATTAGAATTTGTATTCTCTCATTTGCCACCAAAATTTTTTTTTTCCCCATGTACTTTACCTTACCTTGTCCCTGAATACGCAATAATAGAGATCCAGACCCCTGTGTCTAAGCCAGCACAGAGGACAAATTGCATCAGCAAGTCACTGGAAGTTTGGTTGTGGCCTGCACCACTGTTATAGAACCTGGCATATCACAATTCACAGGACTCAGTCTTCTCTCATATGAAATTGAGGGCCTGCATTATTATTTCTTGCTTCTCTTGAATACTTAAATCGTGGTGCTCCATTGTTTTTACATTAATGGACAGAGGTCAAGGTGTAGCAACACTGTTCAGTGGAATGTTTTAGTTATGCAAAATGATTGCTTTCTTTTTTTTTTTTTTTTTCAGCTTTTCAAAAATGTAATGACCAATTATCCCCAAGGTATTGGGAGTAACAAAAAGAACTAAGCCTCAAGCTATTGTGGTTCACAAAGACAATAAACTTAAGATGTTTGTACCATGATGTAAAATAAAGTGTGGTATTTATAAATTAAATTAAAGTAAAAGTCTTTTCCTAAAATAGATTGGATAGAAAGCAAGTTAATTGGTTCTTTGATGTGTTTAACTCTAAACGCATGAGTTGGAAAATAGATCTTTAAAAATCTGTTAACAGCAACAACTAAATTTACAGTATAATTAAAATCCAGGGAATAAACAAATTAAACTCACTGTTGGTGTGTGTCTTTTCTTTAGGTTATTCACACCATCACTGCCACTGATAAAGATGACTTTGCCAATGGACCAAGATTTAATTTTTTTCTTGATGAACGCCTACCCACGAACCCAAACTTCACACTTAAGGACAATGAAGGTGACCATCAACATGCTTTCTTAAGCTCTGTGTTTTCTGCTTTGACTCGAGCGGGTACAGACGTGATTAGTTTTGCCTTATTCTTTTGTACCCGTGAACAGCTTGCAGATTGGCATTTAAGCCCAATGTGATGTTAATGTGTTATGATCTGTGAATATCTTGTATTTAAAATTGAGCCATATGTACAAATAAGTCATTCAATTTACTATGAAGCATTCCTTTAAACAAGAAATGCACATGTAGTCTGCTCTAGGCAAATCTGAAGAGAAATATTAGCTGACAAACATGTTTATGATTACCACTGCAATTGCTAGAAGGCAAAATATTTTTAAATTAGAAAACGAGAAAATTATTTCCCAGAGAGAGCCATAAAATCAGATACAATATTTGGGACCATCTTGTATTAGTAAATCTATCAAGAAGTGCTGCACAAATCCCATTCCCTCTTGTTATTGTACATATTTTCTAAAACATGAACAGAAAATATGTGTAATTGTAGGATAATTTTAAAATTATTTTTGTTTACTCTTCAGTCGTTTATGGAGAAAATGACAGTTATTAACAGCAAAGTTATCAACTTTGGAAAACGTAACATTATTTAGATACTCTGTTTATTGATTCTTCAAGGTCCTCACTCTACAAGGCTCTTGCTGCTATTTGTGGGGACTATTAACTTAATTAGTAAATGTAATTTTCTAATTAGCACCAATGTTCCCTCCAGATCTTTGTGATGATTATTTGAATACGGTGCGGTCTAGGATTTACCACTTGGCATAGAATACTGGTGGGTGACAGTAGATCAGTCTTATAGGGAGCCTGTAATCCTTTCTCTACATACTTGGAGCAAATGATTAATTTTAGACAAAACGAAAAAAGCAGGGTCCATAGCAAAATAAAGTGTGAATATATTCTGTACTTAATTAAAATAAATATTTATATGAAACAGCATGATGATAGTATCAAAGTTCAGCAGCGATATTTTCTTTTAATTTCCACTCTAATGTAGTAGTTTGCCAGAAAAGTCTAATGAGTTTTCTGGTGTAGGTAGAAAACTGTCTAACACATCCAATGAGTATTAGTAAAAAAGCTCTATTTCAGCCTCTATAATGTGTGGTGTTCTTTTGAGAGGTGCATCCAAAATCCATTTTCAGTTTTTTTCCAGTACCCACCAATAGCACCACTGAAATGGAAGCAAGAATAAACAGAATATTTGGTGTGCTTAGACATGACAAATTTTTGTGGTTGTAGGTAGAATCAAGTCTTCTGCAGATTTTTTTTCTCCTCTATTTTCTTTCTTTCTCTTTCTTTCTTTCTTTCTTTCTTTCTTTCTTTCTTTCTTTCTTTCT